CCCAGGTCACTGACTGGGTCACCCATATGGAGAATACACCCTCTCATTCCCTGCAAATCATTCACTGACACCGCAGCGACTGAGAGACATGTGCCCATTCTGGTGACTCATTCTTAGATATGTCAGGGCTGAATGCTGGGAGGACCTTGCACCTTCCTTCCCTCCCCCCTTCCTCCCTCTCTTCCTTTCTCCCTGCCTCCCTTTCTTCTTTCTTTCCTTTCTGGGGCCATGTTTCTGTTGGCTCCCGTTCCTTTTATTTTCTTACTTATCTTTTGCTTATGTATTAGTGTAATAGAATGTATTAAATTTTCTATAAGAATGTCTTTCTCCCTGGTTTCACTCCCTTCCCTTTAATATCACAGGGCTTGGGTGGGACTGCCACCTCCTCACCTCCCCTGGAGCTTAGACTTTGAAGTCAGAGTGGATTGCCCACTCAGAGAGTATGGGGCAGGTGCCTGATCTGGTGGGCCCTGCAGCCCACTTGGGCAGGCCCCGGCTCCTGGTAGGGCGTGAGGGGTTCATGGAATTCTCTGAGGCAGTGTCGGTTGGATAATTAAGTTGTAGGAATAAGAGCTTACATTAGGTGGGGTTCAGGTTAAGGTGAGGGCTTGTGACTTTGGGACCCTGCTCAGCAGGCTTCCAGGGTCATGAAGATTAGGGAAAGAAGAAAAAAAAACATTTTAAAGTTGAAACACAGGCCACTACCATGTTTGTATATTCATGTGTATGTATGTTTGTGATTCCTTTTATTTTTAATTTCCCCCCAAAATTGGTTGTCAGCTGTCAGAAACTTGGTCTGTCTTGCTCCAAAGTTGTTCCTCCTGGTTTATCCTCACGCAAACAAGGGACCACCTGCTCCGTCAACCCCAGCCTTGCCAGGCTTCCTCTCCACCCTGGATGCCCATTTCTGCCCCTCCTACCAGTCTGAATGAATGTTTCTTCTTTAATTCCTTGGTTGTCAGACTTCCATAGAGTTCAATTTGGGGGCAGTTCTGGGTATTTTTGTTTTTAAATTTGTTGTTGTCTTTTTGGTTGTGCTCTATTTATGCCTCCATCTTGGCTGGAGGTCTTGCAGTTTTTGTAGAAGCTTTTATTTACTTATTTACTTATTTATTTACTTATTCAGATAGAGGGGAAGGGAGGGAGAAAGAGGAGAGAAACCTCCATTGCTGCCTACACACCCCCAACTGGTCACAGCCACAGCCAATACTTGCCCCTAACTGGCCAAGGTAATTCTTTCCCATTGATCTGCCTACAGCAACCAAGGCTCAACTACCAAAGGAGAGTGTACTCAGCCCACATGAAGGGTGCACCTCAAGCACCCAGCTTAGGAGGTAGGGGAGGCTGTGCCACTGGTCTCTACAGGACACCAACTACATTAGGCCACACTACCAAGACAGGGAGTCATAGCAGCTCTATCTAATACACCGAAACAAACACAGGGAAGTTGCCAAAATGAGGAAACAAAGAAACATGGCCCAAATGAAAGAACAGATCAAAACTCCAGAAAAAGAGCTAAATGAAATGGAGATAAGCAATCTACCAGATGCAGAGTTCAAAACAGTGGTTATAAGAATGCTCAAAGAACTTAGCAAGAACCTCAGCAGCACAGAAGAGATCCAGTCAGAAATGAAGGATACACTAATTGAAATAAGGGACAATTTACAGGGAAACAACAGTAGAGTGGATGAAGCTGAGAATCAAATCAGTGATTTGGAACATAAGGAAGAAAAAGCAACCAATCAGAACAACAACAACAAAAAAAATGAGGAGAGTGTAAACAACTTGTAGGACAACTTCAAGTACCCAACATTCACTTCATAGTGGTGCCAGAAAGGAAGAGAAAGAGCAAGAAATTTGACATCTATTTGAAAAAATGATGAAAGAAAAGTTCCCTAATTTGGTGGAGGAAATAAACATGCAAGTCCAGGAAGCCCAGAGAGTCCAAACAAGAAGGACGTGGCCTAACTGGTGTGGTTCAGTGGATTGAAGGCCAGCCGGTGAATCAAAGGGTTACTGGTTTGATTCCCAGTTAGGGCACATGTCTGGGTTGTGGGCCAGGTCCCCAGCAGGGAGTACATGAAGGGCAACCACAAACTGATGTTTCTCTTCTTCTCTTTCTCATTTGATTCCCCTCTTTCTAAAAATAAACAAATAAAAATATCTTAAAAAGAAAAGATGGATGAAAAGAGGCCCACTGAAAACAAATCATAATTAATCATAATTAAAATGCCAAAGGCTAAAGATAAAGAGATGGGTGGAGGGTGGTGGAAGAATGGGTGAAGAGGTAAGGGGATTAAGAAGTACAAATAGGTAGTAACAGAATAGCCACAGGGATGGAAAGTGCAGTGTAGGAAATAGAGGAGTCAGAGAACTTATGCGCATGACCCATGGGCATGAACAGGGTGGGGGGGGATTGCCTGAGGAAGTGAGGTTTGATGGGTGGGAGGGACAAAGAGGGAAAAATCAGGACAACTGTAATAGTACAATTAATAAAATATAATAAAAAGGGGATTAATCCTTTCTACCTACTGTCATATTAAAAATCACAGTTCATTTTACAAATCACCTTTGTTTTAATGGCTTAAGTATGTATCTGAAACTTGAAAATACTGCAGCAACTAAAAGATGAAAAGTATTATAGGACTGTTAAAGAAAGTAAAATACTAATGTCATTAGCATGAGGATAATTTATATTCGATAAAGAAAAATCATTTGTGGTCAGTCAACAGGGTTTGTCGTTAAAGCGGCTGGAACGTGACCCTGATGAGCTGGGAAAGGGCAGTGGAGTCTGCAGCTTGATGCCCTTCCTATGCATGTGCTCTAGTGTCCTTCCAGTGTCCTTCCGGAAAATCTGCTGTCAGCCCCCTCCCCCATGATGGAGTCAAAGGGCTGGGATTTATGATGTGATAAGCCTCCTGGCCCTATCAGCCTGGGATGTGTTTGAGTCCAAGGTCCCTTTCTGCTCCTTCTCACCCTGACTTGTGTGCAGTTGGGGACTGGGCTGGGCTTAAGGGCTGGGGAGGAGGTGGAGGGCAGGGGTCTCCTTGCAGCTCTAGCCTTCCCTGCCCCCCATCTTTTCAAGTTTCTGGATTAAGAGTGACTGGATGGTTGGGCTCAGGTTTTACTTAATCTCTGTCTGCATGCATGAGAATGAAGAGGCAGAAATGTAATTTTTATGACCCAGTCCCTGGCACTCAGTAGGTATTCAATAAAATGTTTTTTTCCCCTCTGTCTTTTCATAAAATTTCCCTAATGTCTCTCAGGTCTTGAGAAGTCTCCCTGTTGGGCAGTGGGGGTTGCAGGTGCCCCCAAAGTCCAGTATGGGTCTTTGTCTCATTAGTTAGTTTTGGCTCAATATGGATTTTACAAGTATTCCTTAATCTGAGTGGTCCTTAGCAGAAATGGACCTTTGGGGGAGGACTTCGGAGTGAGATGTATTCAGGTATATCCTGGAATCCCTTGTTTGCCTGGAGTTTAATATCTCAGACCAGACTTCCAGGCAGAAAGCAAGCATCCTGTGCATCAGTGGGTCAGCGAGTCCTTGCTGCAGAAAGACAGATGTAAGGGGTCATCCAGAACAGCTGGTAGTGAACACAGGCTGCAGGAGATCCTGCTGGGTGTGTGGCTGTGAAACTCTGAGATGTTTGGTTTCCTCTTCTAAGAATGAAGATAATCATGAGAGCCACCTGGCCAAGTCAGTGAGGGACAACTAGACCAAATCATGTAATATGTGAACTGGGACACAGGCAGGCTTGAGGGGGCCATCCAAGGGGGTTGAAACAGAAATTTCCAATGGGTGATGTCATCAGTGACACAATTGTGCTTGTGGTAGATAGAAAACCAGAGGGGAAGATGGTGAAGCTGTTGGGTCCATGGGGTTGACTTGTTTAGGTCGGAGTCAAAGGACTTCATGCTTCTTAGTGGACTAAAATGGTTTCTGAATTTTCACAAGTCTGAGCAGCCAATGAGCCAGACCTGAGGGTGAGAGTTTGGTGGGAGAGAGAGAGCAAGACATCCAGTGGGAAGGTCCCAGGCTGGGAAAACTCAGTGAATTGGAGAAACTCATGTGAGACCAGTGAGGGAGCATTTGGGAGAGGAATGGGATAAGTGGAGAAGAAGACCAGAGGTGGGGCCACCGAGGAGGGGGAAGCAGAGGAATCCCTTGAAGAGATGAGGCAGAGAGTTGCCATTAGCTAACTTGAGAGAATCATTCCCTTGGAAGGAGATGAAGTTGAGGAGGTGAGACAGGGGCACCCATGAGGGGGCCACTCCTTGGGCTGGTGAGAAATGAGGGTGGCTTGTAACTAAGTGCTGGCTATAGCTATAGATTTGAGAAAAATCTTGAACTTTATAGTTGGTTGGAAATAGACTGACTGTAGAGCAAAGTGTCAATGATGCTCTTTGAGTTTCTGGCAGAGATAACTGGGTGAACACAGGTTCTCTTTACTGAGATGGGGCAACTGCAGGAAGGGAAGCTGCTGAGGAAGACGCTGGGCTTCAGGGTTTTCTTTCAGGCTTTTCGTGGTGCACTGGCCATTTAGGTGATACTAAAATATTAGCAAGCCGCAGGGCAGTGTCCATTCAGCATGAGCAAGACCAGGGTTTCAGAGTTGGTTCTGGAAGTTCCTGATACCTTCAGTTAATCCCTCAGTTGCCAGGTTGTGAACAGTCCCTGGGTCTTCTGTAGGTGAAGAGGCAGGCACTGGAGATCTTCCAAGGCTCAGGCCTGGGGTGATTACCAACCAACATGAAGTCATTTCTGTTGTGAACAGACCTATGCATAGGGGTAGATGCTGGTCTTGGCTGTGCCACACTCAGTCCTACTTCTGAGGCCTAGAAAAAGACAACCTGCGATGTAGCAGCTGTTGCACAAAGAGCCTCTGTCTCTGCCCTGGAGGGCTGTCTCAGTGTGCCTGAACCTACACTCTGCTTCCTGCTCCAATCATGCTGTTTCTTCTCCAAGACCTGAGGCACCCAGTGCAGAGGGCGGGGCAGAGTCTGCTGCACTGCTTTGGACAAGCTTTCCCTTTCTAATGGTGGAAGGAGCAGGAGAAGGGTGGATTCTTCAGGCTGGAGCCCCAGGGCCTAGTCTCTACAGATTCCCCTGCAGCCTAGGCCAGGCCTTGCTTCTTCTCCACGTCCTGGGAAGCAACTACCTCTCCACACGAGGAAGCAGAGCACCCAGCCTTGGCTCTGGCAGCAAGGTTTGGGTCTCTGAGTGCAGATTCAGAAGGCCCCTGAACCTTGTGAAGCTGCTGTGTTTAGAGAGCTCCAGCCTTTCACAGCAAGTAAGTTGGTTTTGAGGACACTTGTAGGTCAAGAGGAGGAAGCAGGGAGCAGCTGGCTGTGAGGCAGAGGCTGAGAGTGAGGTGAGGCTGGGGGTGGGGTGGTGGCTACAGGAAGACCTGGGGGAACCTCCTTGAGGATCCTTTACCCTGAGACAGAAATCTTCCAGAGAGAGGAAGAGGATTCACCCGTGGGTTGGGAACTGGCTGGGCACCTGGTGTGTGCAGGGCCATGTCCTTGGTCCTGAGCAGGAAAGGATGGGGTGGGATTGAAATGAAGGTGACTGATACAAGCAAACATAAGCAGGACAGGGTGCCTGTGATGGGAGCCACTGTCTCCTTGGGAAAGATGTAGTCTGTTCTGCTGCTTCTCAGTGATTCCCTGCTCACAGTTAGGGGACGACAGAACATAAGCAGGACTGGGCTTGCCCTTCATGGCAAGGAGACTGGGTCTGGGCCCTCTGTCCTGGGGAATCACTGGTGTGTGCCAACAGTGGAGAAATAGAGGGACAGTTTCTCCCACAGGCCCAAGGTGCTGAGGAAGGAAGGGCCTGGTTTTCTGAGCAGGGTGGGCCTGCCCTGTGGTGCAGTTGGGGTGGGAAGGGAAGCAGTGTTTTTTTACCCCAAGCAAATCTAAAGGTTCTCTAGCTGCAGAGGCTTTCAAAAGGGCAGGGAGGAGTCTAGGCTCAGCCCTTTGTTGGTATGAGGAGTGTGTGGGGCCTCCCACCCCATTAGCTTACTGAGTCAGTAGGGAAGGCTGTGCTCCGGCTGGGGACTGTTGCCAGCCCTGAGCCCTGCTGTCCCCTTTGAGGTCCCACTGCTCCCTCGGTCTTCACCTGCCTCCTGCCCTGCCTCTCCCCAGCTTGGGGGAAATGGAAGACTGCTCCAGCTACTCTGTGCTCTGCCATCTCACCTCCCTGCTCCTCCTCATCCAGCTACTCACTCGGGGGGCTGCAGGTGAGTGTGTCCCCACCCCTCTTCCTGTGTCTCCCTCAGGGGGGTGGGATTCCTGGTGAGTGGGGTCCCCAGGTACCCGGCCAGTTCTCTCCACCAGGAACAGTGGCTGTTGGTGGAGGCCCTTCTCTAGAGAGGTTATGATTCTCCCCATCTACTCATTGTAGTTAAACATTTAAGAACAGTCACCAAAGCATAAAAAAAGGATGAGACCTGACCAATTGTCCAGAGGAGTGTGTGATGTTTTTAAAAAGTCAGCTGTCAAATGAGAAAACACTTCTTTCTTCTTTGTTTCCTGGCTCTATTGGTATTCTAAGCACTTACTAATTTATCAATTCATTGCATTCCAAGAATACTTTCATCACCTGGTTCCAGTTTTTAGTTTACAGTAATTCAGTACAGGAGAAAGACATGGGCACATAAAGTTCAGGGTAGGAACAGTGAAGTTCCTGGGTGTGGTTGAGTGACCATGAGTTTAGACCAGGGCAGAGGCATGCCCTTTGGTCAGTTTTTAGTCCTGTCCTAGGAGGGACCAGGTTAGAGCCGTGGTTCTCAAAGTTCGGTCTCCAGATTATCAGTGTCAGCTTCCTGAGGAACTCCATAGAAATTTATATTCTTGGGTCCCCAGACCTACTGAATCAGGAGCTCTGGGGGTGTGGCCCAGTGATCTGTGGTTCACGAGCCCTCCTGCTGATTGTGATGCACACCGAAGTTAAGAATCTCTGGCCCAGAGTGTTTCACAGAAGGGCGTGAAGAAGGGAGCAGAGGCGAATAAGGGAGTCATTTTGACATCATTTTTGGGTCACGAGGTTGTTGTCAGAAGATATTTCCCTGATTCAGAATTGTTACTCATACCATCAGGTCAGGATGGATTGACACCTGCCGCCACCTGCCTGGGCCTTCCCACCTGGTGGTGTGTTCCCTGCCCCAGTCCAGTATCTCCATGTTTCTCACTCTCATGTCTGTGTCCACAGAGTTCTTGGTCATTGGCCCCTCAGAACCCATTGTGGCAGTGCTGGGTGGGGACATCACACTGCCCTGTCGTGTGTCCCCGGCCATGAATGTGGAGAACATGGAGCTCCGGTGGTTCCGCTCCAAGTTCTCTGAAGCTGTGTTCATCTATAAAAATGGCTGGAAGCAGGAGGACGAGCTGATGGCCCAGTATGCAGGACGGACCTCTCTGGAGAGGGAGCTTCTCACCCAGGGGGAGGCTGCCGTGCGCATCCACAAAGTTCAGGCTGCCGACGACGGGCTCTATTCCTGTTTCTTCAGAAAGGGAGACTTCTATGAAGAGGCCAATTTGGAGCTGAAGGTGGTAGGTTAGTGACTTGATCTGTGCTCCTAGAGTCTTGGAGTGCTGAACTTGGGAGGAACCTGAAGGACTGTGTAATTCAGCTCCTCATTGTATAGATGAGAAAAAGGGGGCTTATTCACTCATTCATGTTTCACTAAAAATACATAGAACCCCTACTATGTGCCAGCTCCTGTTCTGAGCACCTGGGATATACCAGTGAACCAAAGATCCCTGCCCTGTGGAGTTGCAGTGTACAGACAATAAATAAACACACAGATAAGTAGGTTATAGAAGCTGTGAAGTGGTGGTAGTAGTTACGATAAAAGGCCAAGTAGAACAGGAGAAGGGGACTAGGATGTGGGGTGAGAGAGGAAAGACAGGCTTCACTGTCACATAGGGGCTTAAATGGGGTCTTGTTGACAATCAGAGCAAAAGTTGAAGGAAGTGGGGATTTGGCCAAGTGGCTATCTGGGGGATGAGAACGCTAAGCAGAGAGAACGGCTTGTGGGAAACCCGAGGTAGGAGTGCGGCTGGTGTGTTCTGGGCACACAAGTTGGCCCTCATGGTTTGTTTGTAAGGTGAGTGAATGGGAGGTGGTAAGAGGTGATGATACCGGAAAAAAGAGATGTTCCTGGTGAAGGGTGGGATTGATGAACACTGCCTGCCGCAGTGAGGAAAAGTTCACAGGGAGCACTCGCCTGAGCAGGCACTTGAGTTCACCAGCCAAGGTCCCAAAGAGACTTGAGTTTGATGGACTGGGATGTGAGGAGGCAGGTGATTATGGTTTTGAGCAGTTAACAAACAGTCCTTGTGGTCGGAATATGTGTGCCTTGAGGGGCACAGGTGGTAGGAATTGGGGGTAAGTAGAGAAGACAGTTGGGAGGAAGGCAGATGCCAGATCATCTGGTCACTGAGGAGAGTGCACAGAATGTGTGGGGAGTGTGCCCTTTGCCAGCTGTGAGGACGGATGGAAGGTAAGCAAGGCTGGGGGCATGGATGCAGTTGCGAGGTGGGGAGGGTGACTGCCAATCTTCATGGAGCGGCACTGAGGTGAGCAGGAGGGATCAGACATCATGAGGTTTACAAAGTAGAGCAACTGAGTGTGTAGATTTGGGGACATGGACAGCTTTCTGGCAGAAGTGGGGATTCCTGGGGTTTGCTTAGGTTAGTAATGAATGAAAATACTTTTCTTATTGAGTAAGCATTACACCAGAATATGGCAATTGTCATAGGCACTTTACTAATATAGTTGAGCAGCAGATACAAAACATTGCATATGTGTTTTAAAGATAAACCTACTAATCCTCAGGAGAGAGAACTTGAAAGCACCATGGTCACACAGAGTTCACCCTAAATTATCTGGTAGTTGGGGTGACTATGTTAGCTAATTGGGGGAAAAAGAAATTCTCATATTCTTTTAAAATGATTATTTATTTTTATTTAAAATGTTATTATTTTTAATTTTTAAAAAGATTTTATTTATATAGTTTTAGAGAGAGGGGAAGGAAGGTAGAAAGACAGAGAGAAACATCAGTGTGTGGTTGCCTCTTGCACACCCCCTGCTGGAGGCCTGGCCTTCAACCCAGGCATGTGACCTGACTGGGAATCAACCCGGTGACCATTTGGTTCACAGGCCTGCACTCAATCAACTGAGCTACACCAGCCAGGGCCCAATTCTTATATCTTTGTGACAGGAAGTGGCTTTACAACTTAGAGCATGGTGCCCACTGAGGTTAGATGCCTCCCCTCCCACAGGAAAGGGGAAAGTAGGGTGCTATCTCTCTTGATGCTAACATTTCAAAGAGATGGCTCTACTTCTCTCCCTCAGGTGTGGGCTCTGCCCCTCAAGTGCGCATCACAGGGCCTGAGGAGGATGGGGTTCAAGTGGTGTGCACAGCCTCAGGGTGGTTCCCGAAGCCCCAGGTGCAGTGGAGAGACCTCAGTGGAGAGAAGTTCCTGGTGTTCTCCGAGGCCCATGCCCAAGACGCTAAAGGGCTGTTCAGTGTGGAGGCCGCTCTGGTGGTGAAAGACCGTTCTGTGGGCAATGTGACCTGCTCTATGCTCAATCCCGTCCTGGGCCAGGAGAAGGCGATGGCCATTTTCATCCCAGGTCAGAGCTGCTCCCTACTCCCAGCAGAGCTGGAGGGGGGTTGGGGCCCTGAGTGTGCTGGGCTGGGCTGGGCTGTCCTGAGCTGTGCCTCTGATGGGGTCTCTGTCTGGGTGCAGAACCCTTTTTTCCCCAGTCCTCTCCGTGGAAACCAGCTTTCCTAGTGAGCCTGACCGTGCTGGGACTCCTACTCCTTGCTGCTGGCTATTACACCCAGAGAGAGCATTCCGCAAAGCTGCAGGAGCTGCAAGAACAGAAGACTCTGTGCCAGGCTAAGGAGCAGGACAGGCAGGCAAAGGAGGAGATGCTGAAGGCCAGAGGTAAGGCAGGACAGGGCCCAGGGCGCAGGGCCTAAGGCTGGCTGGTGTGGCAGGCGGTGCTGAGAGGAACAGGCAGATGGCCGCATCAGGGGCCAGGGCTCCAGCTCTCCAGGGAGACCCAGGGTCTTTGGTCCAGAGCAGGTGGCTGTGGAGATCCAGGGAGGGCAGCTGGAGGCTCAGGTGCATCTGGAGCTGGCACTTCTAGGATATAGAAAGGTTGTCTGGGAACACTGTCTTTCCTTTTTTTAGGGATGGGAGTTCATGCCTTTTGTTCACTCTCTTTCAGATAAACTCCAAGCAGAACTTGGTAAGTTTTGCTTTTCCTCCTGATCTCTCTGTCCCCTTCGTGGGAGACATTCTGGTTCTTAGCTCACCTGTTTCTGTTGCTGTCTTTCAGATTGGAGGAAGACAGTTTACCTGGCTGGTGAGTGATTCTCCACATGTCCTTGACGCTCCTGTCCCACCTGTGCCCAGGTGTCCCTCTCCTTGTTTCTGTCTCGGCACACACATGTAGACACCTTTCCTTGGGCAGAAGTGAGAGCTCGTGGGAGGCAGAACCCTGCTCCATGGGATCTTGCAACTGGGGCTGCTGTTTCCCATCTTGTGCTTGGCAACCAGGCATGATGGGTAGCTCCTAGATTCCTGGTCATGCATCCTGGGTCTCATTCCAACTCAGACATAGCCACTATGTTGCTAATTTTCTAGCCTTCCATGCACCCGGCTCTCAGCAGCACCTGGAAAGGAGCCGCATAAATGAATAGGGTCATCAAGGTTAGGATTGTGACCTCAGCCTTCCCCAAAAACATCATCTAGGAAGAGTTTGTTCTTTCTGGGTTCTGAAGGTATTAATCAAAAAGTCCTGGGCAAGGACTGGGTTGATCACACATAGGAATGTGACAGATGGGCTGTCGATGCCCCCAAACAGTGATGTTTATCTTTGAAATCATTTATCTGAGAAAGATTGGCCGCTTTTACCTCAGAGCTCAACTCACCTCCCTGTCCTTAAATCAATTCCCATTTTGAGTTATTTGCCAAGTATATGTTTGCCAGAAAAAGATTGGATATGAAAGTGCTTTCTTACAATTATGGAATAATTTATATTTTATTTCCTAAAATATTTTCAAACACGTAGTATACTTTTTGATTCTGAATAGAAACACTGAGCAGCAGGTGGAACGGGAGTTTTTGAGGTTGACTTGGCACAGAACGGCTGACTGACTTGCCAAAAGTCACCCAGCTGCAGCTGGCCGGTGCTGGAACTCCGCCTGTAATGCAGGCTTCCTGACCTGTGATCGGGGTCTCCCACAACACCTGCCATCTGGGCGTCGCAGAGGTCATCTCCTCTCCAGCCTCTCCCCCTGTAGATGGTCTCCCCTGCAGGACGGAAGAGGCCAGTAGACTCACACTGAGCAGGCTTGTTGTGGCTGAGGTCTCACCACAGTGTGTTCCCTTTCAGCCTGGAGGAAGGCCCAGCTGTATGCAGGTAAGTGACTCAGTTTCCGTGGCTTCGTCTCCCCAGCCTTGACCCTGTCCCCTTCTCTATCAGAGGACCTCACTCTAGGATGGGGTTGGCGTCCCTGTTCTCCTTGTCACTTTTGTAGCCTCCACCTGAAGAGTGTGGGGCCTCCTCCTTTTCTGGGCCCATCCTCTGCTGCAGGTTGCCCTCAGGGCTGGCAGTTCATTCTGAACACACCTTGTTCTACTGGCACTTCTCAGTGCAGTGACGGTTGCGAGGAGAGTCTGCGGGCAGGTAGTGCTGTGCAGGTCAGCAGTGTCTCTCTAGAAGATTTCTGAAACCCTGTTTGCCTCAGGACTCAGGTCTTCCTGAGAGGGTCCCTGGTTGTGGATCCTTCTTGCCCTGAATTTCCTCCCCTTTTTGGATCTAGTTTTGTTTTTTCCATTTGTTCCCGGTCCTCTGAGATACTGGTCTTTTCTGCTTCCTAGTGCTCTGATCCCCATGTAAGGTGTGTTTCTTCCTCTAAGCCTCCTTGGTTGCTGAGGAAGCAGTTGCTTTAGGGCAGGTGTTCTGAATCTGGGGTCCAGAACCTCCAGGATGTTTATGCTCTGGGGTGGGGATCTGTGAAAGGGTTAAAGTTATATGCAAAAGTCTGCGTATGTTTGTGTAACAGAAACAAAAATGCAACTTTTAATTGTCCACACCAATTATTTCTCCTTTTAGGAGAATTTGTATTTGCCTGAGATGCTTGGTCCCGGTTGTTTGTTAGGGCAAGGTGTGAAGATTGCCAGAGGAGAAACCTGCAGGAGTTGGAACTGTTTACTAGAGTAATGATGGAGAGCAAACCATGGAAGACCAGACTTGGTGGATTAGGGGGGAGTTGAGAAGGAGGTGGAATGGCCGAGATTCCACTTGTAGGGGTTTGGGGTGGCTCAGAGTGGTTGAAGTGAGACCACAGGTCACACAGCCATGGTGGCTTGAGTTGGGGAGTTCGCAGAGTGTTTGCAAGTTATTGGGTACACAAAATGTAATCATATCCTTGATGAATTTCAGTAAAGGTACGTTCATTTTTAGGCCATTTTGAGGTAACCATCTAATTGAGTTTTCCTGTGATGGTGGGACCATCTCAACCTTCCACTGGCAGTCAGGGCAGGAGTGTGGGGTGGGGGGTCCTGAGGCAATGACGGGTCGTCCGAGGAACCTTCAGTACTGGGGAGTTAAGGGTCTGTGCCCCCTGAGCATGAAAAACGTACCTTCCTCTGCTCCAGATGTTTCTGTTTATGGGCAGGGATACAGACCGAGAGACAGATCGGGGTGAACCGTGGGATGACGGAGGTCTTGCAGGGGTGTCCGACCTGTGGCCCACAGACCGCATGCAGCCCAGGATGGCTGTGAATCGTAAATTTACTTATAACATTGTGTGTTTTTTTGTGATTACGTGTCACAATGTATTTAAGCTGTGGCCCAAGACAATTCTTCCTCTTCCAGTATGGTGCAGAGACACCAAAAGGTTGGACATTCCTGCCTTAGAGAGCCTTACTGGTTCTCCCCAGGATTTGTTTCTATACAGTGATGATCGCCTCCCCCTTACCTGCAGAATTAAAGTGCATGTGTTTTAATATATATCTTATATCTTTTTTATTTTGTAAGGATAAACATCATTACATTAGAATCAGCATTTTCATATTGACAGGTTCATAGTGTGAGGTGAACAAATGTGTAATTTCATCTTATTCACAAAATTGGAAAAATAATTTTTAATTTAAAGATTTGCTGTAGAAATTAGATAAAGAATGTACTGAAGTGCAAAGCACTCAGTCCATTGTGGAGTGTCAGAATTAAATGGCAATTTTCCTCTCTCCTCCATCCCTTCTCCAGTTCTCCTTCTTAGGTGTGGCTGGTAGCCACAAATTTACAACCCAAATGTGCAAGAAAAACGTCATTTACTTATTTCTATAAGTGTTTTAATTTTATCTCAAGTCTCTATCTTGTTGGAGGCAAAGCAGAGATTTCATGGTTTTATGACATGTGTAAACTTTGCTTTGGCCAGTGAGGTTCCTTTCATCTTCCCTGAAGGGAGTATGGAGGTTGGAAGTGGTTATGTGGCCTTGGGTCAGTGCGGGAGGCGTCCCTGTGTTCTCCTTTTAGTCATTTTAGGTGCTCACCCCGGGGAGGCTAGCCTGATCTGCTCCTTAGGATCCTTGGGTTGCGGTCTGCTTAGGAGGGGCAGGTCCCATCTACCTGTTTAGAGGAATTTTTGGTTCCCCCCAGTCCTTCTCCCATCTCCAGGTCCTTATTCATATCTGTAAAGTTTCCTTTGGCATATGGTATTTGCATGTTCAGGGGCATAGGACATAGCATCTTTGTGGGGCTCACCACAGCAGGATTTCTCTGGAAGCTTCCAATCTTTCTGGGCAATTATAGGAGGAAACAGATGACTGATCCAATATTTTGGGTTATTTCTTGGCTCTTACTACTCATGAAAGGGGAAGAAAATTTATTACTGTCTGTCCTCTTACTGAATGCATGTCTTCCCTGCTTTAAACCTTTCTCTCCCTTCCCTAAAACTTCCCCATTGCCCCCTAACTGGGCAAGATTTCTCTGATGTTCTGTACCAAGTTCTCTTCACTCGTAGCTTATAGTCATCCTTTGAGACCAGCCCAGCCAAGCTGTATTCTCTCTACTCATGGCTCAGAGACACCCTACAAATTAGGCTCAATCAGTTCTTCATTAGAAAATGGACAGTTTGATTTCCCTGATTCTTTTCAAGAAAACCTAGCTTTCAGAACGGTTGTGTGGCTTGGGACTTGAGAAAGCAACTTGGGTACCCAAGTCCGGGCCTTTCAGCTTAGGTAGCTATCCAGACTCTTAATCCCTGAGCATTAAGCTTTATGGCTTAACATTCATGGGAAGGTTGAGACCTGATGGTTCTGTCAGTGAGTGTGTGTGCACGTATATGCCTCTGTATGCGTGTGTATATAAAAAAATAAATGCATGAGCTGAATGTTTCCAAAAACAATTCCCCTTGTCAATCCTGCATCAGTATGTTTCAAACAACTAGGCCCTGGTCCCAATGTGTGCAGCCTGTGAATCTCTGATGTGAAATGTGGTTCTCTTGCAGACTGGCGGCAGGAGAAGTTCCAGGCCTGTGAGTGACTATGTGCTTTCTGGGTGCCCATCCTGCAGCCCCTACAACTTTTGGCCTCTCCTTCAGTTCTCTGTGGTGATACACATGCTGGCACCATCAGTGGTGGTGGGCTGGGTGGCAGAGGCTGGCACCCAGGTAGCAGAGGGCAGTCCAGGCTGGTCCTCAAGGTTGCTCCAACATGTCTAATTCCAAATAAGTTTTGTGGTTCCTTCTCCTGCTTGGAGGGTTGTGGGCTTGAGTCATAAGGCTTTCATCTCAGGGGGTCATAGCCCTCCCTCCATGTAGCTAAGTGTCTGGTGGGTGATGGGGTGGTTGTGTGCCCTTGTTGTGGGGCTGAGGAGGGCCTTGCGTGATTGGTACCTCTCTCTGCAGGGTCTGTCACTCTGAATCCAGTCTCTGCCAGTCCCAGCCTTATCGTCTCTCCTGAGAAGACAAGAGTGACCTTGAAGGACACCAGTGAGGACTCAAACAGCACCTGCAGCGTGTTGGGCCTTGAGGGCATCACATCAGGGCGCTGTCACTGGGAGGTGGAGGTCACAGGTGGAGACAAAAGTGAATGGGCTCTGGGGGTCTGCAGGGAAGATGTGGAAAGGGAAGGCTGGTACAGAGAGTCCCCAGATAAGGGTTTCTGGGTTGTGGGGAAGTTTGGTTCTGAATATCATGCCTGCACTTTAAGTCAGACTTTGTTATCTCTTAGGCAGCTTCCCCACAGGGTGGGTGTTTTCCTGGACTACGACGAAGGGGATGTCTCCTTCTATAACATGACCGATGGTTCCCACATTTTCTCCTTCCCTCCGGCTTCCTTCTCTGGGACCCTCTTTCCATACTTCAGTTTGAGGTCAGAGTTTGGGTCCCTGACCATCTGTCCCATGACGGGTGCATCTGAGAGGCTCTCTGTGCCCCTTAATAATTCTCTGGAGGAACCTATGAGCCTCCCAGGGGCGGGGTTAAGCTCAGGCTCCACTGGTGATGAAGTTGAATCTCCACTACTGTCCTGAAACATGGAGGCCATGCCCCCTCAGTGTCCCTGTCCCCTCACTGAGGCTTTCCCTGGAGATGCCAACTCCCTGTGGCAAAGCCTCTGAGCTGAGCCCTGGAATGCTGAGTCTTCCCTTCCTGCTCTGCATTCAGACCCTCTGGTGTGTGGTTATGAGAATAGAGAATAGTCAGTTTATTCCTTGTGCATAGGAGCAGGTTATAAAAGTTGACTGAGCTGGTTTGGAATAGGCTATATTTTGGTATGGGAAGTTTTTTTTTTTGTAATGAAAAATATTTCATGAACTCGTTATAGTGTTTGAATAGGAAAGAGGATTAGGGGTAAATTACCCTGCAGGTTTAGGTGGAGTTTCCTTTATCCATTTGGAGTTTGGGCAGAAGAATGCAGAGGCTGAGGGTAGTCCCCACATCCATTTTGGGGGTTCTCACTATCTGACCAGAAAAGTTGGCCATCCAAAGTCTCCAGGAAAATGGATGGCTGCTGGACTTTTAGGAGGAGAGGAGTCTAATATTCTACTCTCTCTATTTCCTTTTCTGGGATGGGTGGAACACTTGTTTTTTCAAACCTCAGTAAATTTCTGTTACCTGTGAAAAACCTGTGCTGTGTTAATTTAGCGAATGAAGGAGAAACATCTGGGCTCCCCTTTAGTGTGAGCAAGGTTTCAGTCATCAATGTATTGCTTCTTGGTACTTCCAAGTCCAATGGTATGGTTAATGCAAAACCACAGCAAAGAAAAGGAAGCAGGACTTTGGGGAATGAAAGTGCATTCATTCTGCCAGGCACCGAGCTCTGACTTGCTATGGTTCTCACTAAATGTGGAAGACCTGGAGCAAGAAATAGAAGAAAGAAGACGATCAGTTCTGACCTGTGACCAATTACAGAAAGAAGGAGTGGAGTAAAAGCTTTGTATATTTTTTCTTTCTTGTTGTAAGTGTATGTTTATTTGTATATATTAACCATTTTCTTTTTCTTTCTTCTTACCCTTATGCTTTTATGTAAGTCGTTGGGGGTTATGTGTAGTATAGTCTTTAGGTATCAGACTAGTCAATGGGGCTATGAATTTCAGGAACTTTGCAATATAAATATAGCAATGTTTGATACAATGACTGGGACTTTCTGTCTCGACATTTTGGGGAAAGGGTGAGAATTTCTTCACTTGTAAGGGTAGCTTTGTCTTCATGCATGAAAATGTAATTTTTATATGAAAGTTCAAATTTGGTAAATGGTTCATATTGAAGCTGAGTAGCCAAAGGTGTGGACCGTGTCCATTATCAATTTATTGCCTCTTGGTTCCAAATCCACCCCACATTTGCCTTGTTTTGTGATCCTGGAGCTGGAACCTCCTCCCCCCATTTCTTCTTTGCCATTTGACACAATGTAGTTAGACTATGTCCCCTTTGCACTGCAGGGGGCGCTGTAGGACATGGCAGAGGAAGGAGATTCTTTTCTAGGGGTGCTTTTCTTCTTGATCCTGTGGGGTGACTGTCAGTGGCCTACAGAAAGCCCCCCAATGTTCTCCCATCTTTTGGTGAATTTGACATTGCAATAGTCTGTTTTCCAGAGGATAACTTTCTCAGGGATCTAAGCAGCACCCCAGTGGGAGGTTTCCTGCCCACCAGCTTTGGCCTGTGGCATGTCAGTGGACTTCTTCACCTTTGGGAGGGCTGTGGTCCCATCCTGACTAATAAGCCCTGAATCTGCCTTTTGGTGGGGGTCATCTCCCAAATGTCTGTCTTTCCGTGTCTTCTGCCTTAACTCTTGAGCTAGTGTCTGTTTCCTGTATCTGCTTTTTCTGTATCCCTTAGAGCTTTCTTTTACTTCTACTGGTAGTTAACTACTAAAACTACCTTCTGCTAGTTAATAATTTTTTATATAAAAATTTCCCTGTTCAAATTACTGATGTGGTTTCTGTCTCCTGACTGGACACTGAATCTAAACATCTAAACCATGATGTAGCTTGGAGGAAGGCATGACACTTCCCTGTGTGGGGGAAAGGGTAGCTGAGGCATTTACAAATGTTTTAAAATGGCTCACCTCAACAATAAGATCACACAAATACACTCTACAGGGTCCTAATGTGGACTTTAAGTACGCTATATATTCATATTTATATGTCATATTTATGCTCCCTACCATTTAGCTTGCCCCTTTGTGACACTATATTACCGTATTTGCTCACATATAATGCACACCCACATTTTGAGTGCATTATACACAGGATTATTATACTCATGGCATGTAATCATTTATACCAATGTATAAATAATGCACATCCTTATTTTTCCCTAAAAAATTTGGGCAAAAAATACACACTGTACATTGCAAAGTACAGTACTTTTGGATGAGCTATAGGCATATTTCCTTTGAAATAGACAAGGAAGGCATACATGTGATATGAATTATCCACACAAAGTAGGAGTAATTATTATTCCATTAAATAGGAGTTAGTTCAACAATGTATCAGTTAAACAGCCCTGGCTGGTGTGGCTCAGTGGATTGAGTGCTGGCCAGTGAACCAAAGGGTCGGTGGTTTGATTCCTAGCCAGGGCAGATGTCTGGGTTGTGGGCCAGGTCCCCAGTAGTGGGTGTGCGGGAGGCAACCACACATTGATGTTTCTCTCCCTCACATTCTCCTTCCCTTCCCCTCTCTCTAGAAATAAATAATATTTCAAAAAATGTATCAGTTAAACAAGTGGACCAGCTGCCTACATATTGCAATCCCAAGAACAATCATTAAGATAATCAGTATGGTAGAGTTTTGTCAGAATCGACCTATTTAAAAGTTACCTTGCCCTGGCTGGTGTAGCTCAGTGGACTGAGTGTCAGCCTGTGAACTGAAAGGTCAATGGTTGATTCTTGGTCAGGGCACTCACCTGGGTTTGTAGGCCAGGTTCCCAGTTGGGGATGTGTGAGGGGCAACTGACTGACATATCTCTCGCTCATCGATATTTCTCTCTCTTTCTCTCTCCTTTCCCCTCTCTTAAAAAAATAATAAAAATAAATAAATCTTAAAAAAGTGTTATCTAGGTGTACATTTTGTATTGAGTTTATCTTGGAAGTTATGGTGATCAAACTTGCAAACTCATTTTTTGAAATGTTTATTATTGTTATTTAGGAAAGTATTTAATTACACAGGAAATAGCTTTTTTCCTGGCTGTGTTTATTGCATCCACACTCCACAATGTGGACCTTCTAAACTTTAATCTGCCTTGGTTGTGCTGGAGCACAACTCACTTTGTTTCTTCAGGAGCCTCTCTGCCTCCCTTCAGGCACAGGTTATGTGAAGCTCCTCAGGTTTCCTAAGGTGCAAGCTAACCTGCAGGCTGGCTCCCCCTCACTGATCACAGAGAAAGGCTGCTGTAAGTCTTCATTTGAGCAGTACTACCCACTCTGGATGTTCTCGGAATTGTAATCTTTTACTATCTTTTAGTAACCCCTCAACTATTAGCCATAAAATCTTTTCTTTATATTGTTAAGAAAAACTATTTAAAACCTAGAAATAGGCAAGAATTTTGGTGTCATGTCCTGTCACTGTCACCTTGAGATATTAATAGGCTCCCACAAAGATTATTTGAGGTCTGTCCAAAAGGTATCCAGCCATATAATATGAAAAACAGAGACATTTACTGAAGAAGATGCAAGATACAAGAAACATTGTACATAGGACAATGATGTCTCAGTCTCCTTCAGAGTAGGCACCTTGGGACCTTACACAGATCTCTCAATTGCCATTAGTTGCCCTGTTGTATTTTCCTGACTCTCATCAACAGTCTGAAATCTCTTCCCTTTCAAAGGTGATTTTAGTTTTGGGGAAAATCCAGAAGTTGCAGGACACTAAATCTGGGCTGTAGGGCTCCTGAGTCACCTGGGTGATTTGATGTTTCACCAAAAAACCTGCATGAGATGTGATGCGTGAATGAGCACGTTGTTGTGATGAAGCTGCCAACCACCAGTTGCCCATTGCTGTGTCCTTCTGAATCATCTGAATAGTTTCAGTGGAGAAATGTTCAAGCTTAACACAAAATCTGATGCAGATTCATTGCTCTACTCACTCATTTTGTATGTTTTTTTCTTTTTAAAATATTTTATTTATTTATTTTTAGAGAGAGGGGAAGGGAGAGAGAATGAGAGGGAGAGGAACATTGATGTGTGAGACAAACAATGGTTGTCTCTCACACCCCCCCAACTGAGAACCTGGCCTGCAACCCAGACATGTGTCCTGATCAGGAAAGGAACTGGTGACCTCTTAGTTTGTGGGATGATGCTCAACTTAGTGAACCACGCCAGTCAGGGTTCGCTCAGTCATTTTGAATGTGACGGCCACACAGTACACATGCTCACTCAGTCGTGTCTACCACCCCCCTGACCAGTACAGTGAAGTCATCATTGTTCATACATGCACATTCCAGTCCACTCTCCTTGGCTGCCAGGTTACATCGATGCATAAACCATTCTTGTTATATTAACAGTGCCTGGACTTTTTCTGGACAGACCTAGTATAATTATCTAGGGGATATATCAGTGTTTGACTTTGGTTTTTAATCATAAATTAAAGCCTTGTTTTCTGTGAAGTTCCAGTAGAAAAGATAACCCCAAAGATTACAATTATTTCCCCACAGAACATTAACCACTTTTTCTTCTCTAACTCAGAGTACTTACTTCAAACTGCCATTTCCTGGTGGTGAATAAATATCCTGTTCTCAAAATGCTGTTTGAACCTACTTTATATTGTGCTAGTTCCATCACTGACATTAACTGAATAAATTTTTATATTTGACTGAGAGTCATGTTTATGACATTATGAAAATTATACAATACTTTATGTTTAGAAACATAGGTTTTATAAAAGGAACTTTATATTAATTATAAGTATAAAACCCTTAATACCCAGTAATTTAAAAGATAATAGCAAAATTCCCATGTGACAAATGTAGAGTAGAAATAATGCAGTATGAGTTATAGTGTATATAATCCTCCTTCCCCTGCAGAGTTGAAGAGAAGCCTGGTGAGTGGAAGAGACTTTCTCTGGATAGGGCTGGGATCAGATCCTCTATTCTAAGTGGAAATTGTCTTATCTGATTCTCATGGATCCCTTTCTCATTTTATTAGTATGTTCATCCATATAGCTGAGCACCCTCCAGCTTCTATCTAATCTAAGAGTCCTTGGCTGGCATTTCCATCACTTGCTTCTTTCTATAATATTTATTATCCATCGCCTTCTTCACTCACCTTCCTGCCTCTTCCTGTGTGGTCTCAGCGATGAGTATGTGTGATGGAGTATAGAGATCTTTAGCCAGAGGGAGAGAATCCCCCAAATAAGGAAGGCCAGGGAGATTTGGGGGAGTCAGGATGTATCATCAGGAGTCCTCCTCCCCAAATGTCTTTTACTTCCCCTCATTGGGATGCTCTGTGTGTTCACCAACACAGTTCTGTGGGGAAAACTCTGTGTCACTTAAGTTAGGCCCAGACAGAACATCTGTTCCTTGGCACTGGGGGTGTTCTCTGGCTTGTGTCACTTCCTCCCATCTTCTTTTCTCCCTTCTTTCTCTCTCTTTCCTCTAATTTTTCAGCCCTGATAGCTACATGGCCTTTCCAACGGAGGCGAAGGGATGCTGTCATAACCCTGCATAATAAAGATGATTAATCATGTTTCACCTATAAACATTCTCTTGGGTTTGTCCAGAGACATTCATCCCAGATTCAGGAATGACTGGGAATATTGCCACTTGCAACTTTAAGAAGTGCCTCTGAGAGGAGCACTGTGGTGAAGTGAACATAGCCCTCGTTTTCTATAAACACATGCTAGATTGAGCCGAGTAGTATTCCATTGTGTAAATGTCCTATCTCATCTATTGACAGACCCTTGGGCTGCTTCCATATCTTAGTGATTATAAATAATGCTTCAGTGAACATAGGGGTGCTTATGTTCTTTGGAATTAATGTTTTAGATATATTCCCAGAAATGGAATCACTGGGTCAAAAGGTAGATCCCGCCCTGGCTGATGTAGCTCAGTAGATTGAATGCCGGACTGCCAACCAAAGGGTTGCTGGTTTGATTCCCAGTCAAGGTAGGTGCTTGGATTGAGGACCAGGTCCCCAGTGGGTG